TACCGTTTTATGTTGTACTATTCTTGTTAATTGTTGCAATAAATGTCACAGGCTGTAATCGTTTCTCTTTTACATTGTATTTCGAGATCTGTCCGAGTGTAAATCCTCAAGCATCATTGACCTGTTCTTGAAACATTACAGATCTGTCTGTATTCATTTCAGACATACATGAGTCAAGTTCCTTGTGCGTAAGAGGTGGTTAGTAACACTAAAGTACACACTACTTTACGCTAGTCAGCAGTACTACCACTTGTCACGGTGGTCTGTAAATAATCGAATGTTGGTCGAACCGTAAAATGGTAATATCATTAGCAAAGATATGATTCAAAATCAGCTCGATCGTTAAGTGTCATGGTATCCCAATTGCATAGTTCGATGCGCATGATGTCTGGACCGGAGTCGATTTTTACGAATCTGGACCAGACAATCCGGTGATTGACAACATGAGCATCGATCCACGCAATTGGGATCGATGACTCTTAATAACCAAGTCAGCGAGCCTGACCACCCGATCCCGTTAGTCGCCTCTTACGACAAGCATAGTCGCCTTTTACCAGTAAGCATGTGTTGCTGAAGACCTGTTCTACCCTGGACCTTTACGGGAATCAGGGAGAAGTGATTACAGTTACCATAGTCAGAATACAGTAACTGTTATCACTTCTCCCTGAGTATATGGTTGAAACATGTAGAACAATCCGTGTCGTGTAATTATGTTGTGAATTTCTTTGAAATTCCATATGTGCTACTGTACACCAGTGAATCTCACCATTTCACCTCTGGACAGGTCCAGGCGCACGATGTCGACCTTGGCTGAGTAAACACAACTCTGGGTCAAAAGGTCTACACCCTGTGCACAGCCTAACGCTTTCAAGAGCTACTTCTCTAGATAAACTGACCTTGTAGACTTGAATAAATAAATATTTGAATATTAACTTATTTACAATTTACAAATGGCATTTTCTGTCACCAATAAAGAGAAAGCTTAACCGAGTTATCTGTTATTTCTAAAAATTAATACCCAAAGTTGACGTCACAATTTGCGCCATGGAAAATATATTCCAGTAATTATCCATGGCGCTACCGAGATGCATTTCAATACCGATTTCATATCTTGATAGCATTCTTTTTCTCTGACACAAATATCTATATCATTATTTAAACAAATTATTCGAAATATCTGTTGTGTGATTTGGGAAGATATGCATATATATTTTGATGATGTGGAAACAGAGTGATCTTGTTTGTTTGTTGTTTAACGCCGCACTCAAAATATTTCAGCAACATTACGGCGGTCTGTTAATAATCGGGTCTGGACCAGACAATCCGGTGATTGATATCATGAGCATCGATCCACACAATTGGGATATGATGACATGCATCAACCAAGTCAGATTTATTAATCACATCAATAAAGTTATTTTTCAAGCATTTTATTAAGCAAGTTAAAACATACACGGCATGCACAAAAAAGCACCACACTCCTGTCATTTATTCGAAAATCTGTCCGTTATACGGATCCCACACCATAGGTCACATTCATACTAAAAATTCACATAAAACTAATTCAAACTAAAACGTAATAACAATTGGTCTATAAAATAATAAACTGGTCTGCGTTCCCTTATGTTAGAGTGTCACCAGGAGGCACTGTAGTTCACCCCAGAATTTGTGGACTGTTTGTTTAACGCCGCACCCAGCAATATACCAGCTACATGACGGCGGTCTGTAAGTAATCGAGGCTGGGCCAGACAATCCAGTGATTGATATCATGAGCATCGATCCACGCAATTGCTTTTGTTTGTTGTTTAACGCCGCACTCAGCGAGATTTCAGCTATATGACGGCGGTCTGTAAATAATCGAGTCTGGACCAGACAATCCAGTGATTGACATCATTATTGACATCATCAACCATGTCAGCGGCCCTGAACACCCGATCCCGTTAGTTGCTGAAGACCTATTCTAACCCGGATATTCACGGGTCTTGTGGACTGGTGTTGATATCTTGAATATTGAGAAATCGGTTTTATTCATATGCCAAAGCATAAAATGAAAGTCAAACAACTACCATAACAATAAAACATTACTGTGCTGCACACATTGAAACACGGTACTGGGAAATTGACATCAATGACAATTTGAATATATATGAATGCGGCGAGTTTCTGTTGATTAATTTGATGCCTGAAAACGTTCATCAAACAGAGGACTATTAGTTCTTAAACGTTGTCATAATCGTAAGTCGGAATGGAAATCCTCACTTCAAATACTAAAATGGACTTGACTGACATATCAGAAACAGGACCGCGAGATTCCGGATCCACAATTTCAGGGCCTGTGCAAATATTCCTGACAGCTGAACAGATAGCATACTTTCAGTTTCCCCAAAGGAAAGGAACAGCTGTATGTTAGGGTTAAAACAGCGATACTATGTTAAGTCAGAACTGGACCAGTCAAACCAGTGGTTGATAACACGAACATCGATCACCGTCGTCGAGTACGATGGCATGCAAGCAACGAATGCGGACTCCAAGAAGAATTACAAAGACATCAGAATCTGGGATATTTTGATTTGCGATTGAAATAATGCCACCATTATTAATGCAATCGTATGAAAAAGTCCAGGTACAAATGTATATAATCTCGGTGTATTATCAACCAATGCAATAGTTTTCATATCGCGTAAATGGTCATGTTCAATACTGAACTGGCTATTAAAAACTTGTCAGTGCAAAAATAAGAAAGATTAGTGAGTTTAAAGGCTAACGCCAAGTTATACAATTATGAATGTTCGCTGCATATACAAACACCAACTTCAGCTGGGTAACTGATATCAACAGAGATCCAGATCAAACAAAAACACCCAGTGGTAAGGTAATAGGGTAAGGAAAAGTCATTAATTCATTATCTAAGAAACGAATAATAAACAAAGCCGGGTGTTTCACAAACAATTCATACAAGCGCAAGTGCCCATGAAACCAAGGAAACATAATTTAGTACCTTGCTATTTTGAGATGAAACATGAAAGCCAGGATCAACGATCCACCAAGTCGAGTAGGATGCATGCAAGCAACGAATGCGGACTCAAGAAGAGTGACAAAGACATCATCATGTGGGACTTTTTGATTAGCAATTGAATTAATGCCACGAAGATAAATGCAGTCATATATAAAAGTCCAAGTACAAATGTATAATCTAGGTGTATATCAACCAATACAATAGTCTCTGAAAGGCATTTAGAAGTGATACACATACGGAAGAGAATTTATAGATGTCAACTTCTTTATTATGAGGAACACAATGTATCGGAGTACATGCTTACTCCTTACTCCTTCGCCTGATGAAGGAGTAAGCATATACTCCGAAACGTTGTGTTCCTCATAATAAAGAAGTTGACATCCATAAATTCTCTTCCTAAGCAATACAATAGTTTTCATATCCCGTAAATGGTCATGTTCAATACTGGCTATTAAAAACTGATATTTTGAGATGAAATATGAAAGCATGGTCAACGATCTACGCCGTCCGGGCAAGATGAAACAATCAACTAGATCACACATTATTAAATCAGTCAGCTTTTATAATTACAATTAACTTGGAGTATTGGGGCCTACTCTGACCCCGATTAAATTAAAAAATGGGGTCATTTGACTTAATGTAAGTAGGGGCCAGGAGGACTGGTGTATGACGCCATGGTTTAAACAAGCTCTGGTATACTGGTCACAGTCTACTATTCCCCACAAAAGAAGTTAAAGAACACCCGATTTTTCTATATGACTATACCTGACTGTAGTTAATCTATCATGGTATGACGGATTAAATAACGTCATATTTAACAAGCGGATGTTCTTTATCTTCTTTTGAGCAGTATATATTTGATCAGGGACCAGTGCCATGCATGAAATGGCGGTCTGGTGTTATTTGGGGGGGGGGGGGGGGGGCCGCTGGCGAGTAATGCCCATAAGAGAATGCAAAACGAATGAATGAAATAAACGGCATCTATCAATTGTCAAGTAATTTTGATTACTTCAGGAATGATAATGGTGAGTGATGGCCATTCAGTTCTTTGCTCCCTAGAGTAAGGAGCGGTGGGGTAGCCTGGTGATCAAGCGTTCGTTCGTCACGCGGCCAGTGTACGATTCCCAACATGGGTGCAATGTGTGAAGCCCATTTCTGATGCCCCTGCCGTTATATTGTTGGAATATTAAAACCGGCATAAAATATCTCTCTCTCTCTCTCTCTCTCTCTCTCTCTCTCTCTCTCGCCTCGGGAAGATGGATCTCTCTATCGCTCTCTGCTGCCTCTATACCTAAGAATATAACTATATAGAAACACAAACATGTCCTGGAGTGTATACATAAATAAATCTATATATCTGTGTAAATAAACATGCATTGCAATACATTTACATAAAAGCGCGATATGTACTTACCAGAAACACCAATGAAAAATCTTTCCCAATAATTGACTTGACGTGCTGCAAAGATCTCTAACCAGAGAAGCTTTCTGAACATTGAATGTCCGGTATCTCCCTGTGAGCACATGTATGTACTAACCATGTATCGGACACCTACGTGCAATGTTATATTGACATTAGGACATTAGAACGCTCTGGGACAGTCAAAGAGACAGCTGTGGACATCGTAAGAGGGTGAAATGGTTTAAAGACGTTTAAACAGGTGAGGTGAAATGGGGTTTAACGTCGCGTCCAAGATTATTGCTCTTATATAGCGTGTGTGTGTGTGTGTGTGTGTGTGTGTGTGTGTGTGTGTGTGGATGCTTGTACTAGTCCGGACTGATGCCGATTTATAGTGCTAGCCCACTGAGATACCATGCCGCAGTTTAACATGAATACCCCACTCAGACACAGAATACTGACTCCGAGCCGACCAGTCCTTGTCTTAGCCCCTTAATGCCGAGCACCAGACATGTTAATAATAATTACCATCTTTTAACGTCTTTTGGTATGACGCGGCCGGTGATCGAACCCCGGGCCTTCCGCTCTCCGGGCAGACGCTCTACCACTAGTCCACGGAGGCGGTCTACGTTTGAACAGTATTTCTGTCATGTCAATACCAAACAAACAACAGAATTGTGCTGACAGACCAAGAATCAAGATGGGGCAAATCGTGAATTCCAACGTGGTCAATATCTATACAGATACATCCGATGTCCGTTGGTGTTGACTTTGGACACCATGACAACACAGCCACCTGTGTTGACTGTGGGCACAACCAGTTACTATTCTCGTACAACCAGTGGCGTTTCTTTCCACAGTCATGCATCAACAACTTCGTTCGTTTGTTGTTTAAAGCCGCACTCAGCAATATTACAGCTATATGACGGCGGTCTGTAAATAATTGAGTCTGGGCCAGACAGTCCAGTGACTGACATCATGAGCATCGATCCACGCAATTGGAATGCGATGACATGCGTCAACAAAGTCAGCGAGTCTGACCACCCGATCCCGTTAGTCGCCTCTTACCACAAAATAGGTATACATGATATACATCTGCAGTCCTGCACTCATTCAAGCGTGAAAAACTTATCAATAAAATATATGGAGATAAAATGCACCAATTCTGATAACACTAAAACCTTGAATTCGAAACTGATCCAACCGGTTACAAACTTCCAAGATATCCTGGTATATGACACAACTTCTCAAACCTGGATATGTAAATATCTTGAGGTACCTTAATCTTGAGATCCACACTATATCAACCTCTCCCTTTTGCAGTGTCTAAAACTTTAAGCATCCGAGCATACTGCATTCATGTGCGCTCAGCCTACAAGTGATACAAATCTTCATCTGCTCCGCAAAGACAGACACGGCGTGCACAGCATCCAAAATACTGTACTAACGGGGGAGCAATACCCTAGTTGAATTGCTCCTCGTGCTTCTCGTTTTTATTCACAGGCGGTTAAAATGAATACCCGAGTGCTGATTGACGAATTTGATGGTCCCGTTTGGTCATAACTGTAACCAGAACCGTATATACATGGACGCGTCCCAAACTTATGTCATGGCCCCATGGCCGCACACTGAAGACTGGTGTGTAAAGGTTCCATGGCAGTTTGTAGAGAACAGGTTTCAGACATAAACCTTGTTAGCAGACATACAGATGTTTCGTGTTCCAGACGCAATGCAGGATGTCTTGGTAGGGTTCCAGGTACAATACAGGAGTTCATTATACGGTTCCATGTTCGCAGCATATATTGCAGGCTGGCGTGATGTAGCTACAGTTCCTCTACACAATGCAAGCTGTTAGATACCTTAGTCTCGGCTGAATGAACCTTGGCTCAAAGAGTGAAACTTTAAGGGATTGATTTGAGCCTGCTGCACAGGCGCACTTTATACTGTCACGGAACGGTTTCGCGTGAACATAGGTTGTCCAGATCATACAGAATTCACACTGTCATCACGGGACTTCAGATCTGCATTCACACTGCAAGGCAATATTTGATTGTTGACACACGTATGCCCACAGCAAACGACAACACATACAAATAAATACACATACAAACTCCTCCTACACTGTGCTGGACACGTGACTGTCTGGCTGCTTCCCACAAGTTTTTCTGTCATTCAGCTCCTCCCCTGCAGTTTCCACACCCACAAAGAAGCAGAAGATGAACTGAAGCAGGAAGCAAGCGGTCCACGTGACCGGATATAGCCAGACAATATCAGACGACAATAACATGGCGCCGATAAAAGGAGTAATCAAGCCCGGGATTTCAATGACGATGTTAGCCCAAGCCATGGCAGTGCTCCGCACATCTGTGGGATATATTTCTGGGGTAAATGCATTCAGTATCGAGTATATAGGCACCATGAAGAAATAACATACAATAACAAGCGCGGCTTTGATACTTTCTAAGGGAACGAAAGCAAAGACAAGAAGCGACGCCCCGGTAAAGAACGAGAAGAATTTAAGACTGTTGATCCTTCCGAGCATGTGTCTTTCTATGACGATCATTGCAAGGGCAATTCCTGGTAGTTCACCTATAAAGATAGTGAACATGTTCATGTAGGAATTCACCCCCAGCGAGTTCATGTATTCTGGGAGGTAGATGGTGACTCCCCAGTAGCCGGTGGACTGGAAGAACCAGATGAGGCTCATGAACAGTGTTCTTCTGCGGAGCTCGGGAGAAAAAAGGTCTTGTATTCTTCCGCGAACGGTAGAAACTGGGCAGATTATTTCACCTGAAACAAACACCATGTGTCTTACCATAATAGCGTCAACATATCAAAGGATACATGTAGGTAGGTAGGTAGGTAGGTAGGTAGGTAGGTAGGTAGGTATATTACTCTGACTTCTACGGAGGCGTAGTGGGGCCACGGTGAAATTGTTTTTTGTCTAAGTATCTTCTACGTAGGACTGAGTTTCTCCTACGTAGGACTTACTGTCTCCCACGTAGGACTTACAATCTCCTACGTAGGACTTACTATCTCCTACGTAGGACTTAGTATCTCCTACGTAGGACTTTATATCTCCTACGTAGGACTTAGTATCTCCGTAGGACTTAGTACTGATATATAGCGTGTTCTATTCAAGCCTCATTGATTAAGTCCTACGTAGGAGATAGGAAGTCATACGTAGGAGATACTAAGTCCTGCGTAGGAGATAATAAGTTCTACGTAGGAGATACTTAGACAAAAAATTCAGCGTGGCCCTACTACGCTTCCATAGACTTCCACACCTCGTTCTTCACTAAAGAAAACGGAATTTCATTACAATATTGAGATTGAAGTGTTCAAAATAAATTAAATTCTTCTTCTTACTGTCTCCCACGTAGGAATTACTATCTCCTACGTAGGACTTACTATCTCTTACGTAGGACTTTATATCTCCTACGTAGGACTTAGTATCTCCTACGTAGGACTTTATATCTCCTACGTAGGACTTAGTATCTCCGTAGGACTTAGTACTGATATATAGTGTGTTCTATTCAAGCCTCATTGATTAAGTCCTACGTAGGAGATACTAAGTCCTACGTAGAAGATACTAAGTCCTGCGTAGGAGATAATAAGTTCTACGTAGGAGATACTTTGACAAAAAAATCACCGTGGCCCTACTACGCTTCCGTAGACTTCCACACCTCGTTCTTCACTAAAGAAAACGGAATTTCATTACAATATTGATATTGAAGTGTTCAAAATAAATAAAATTCTTCTCGTCGAGTTTTTGAAACACTCCGAGCATCTGTTTTATTTTATCTTCCTGTGGACAATACTTATTTACGCCTCTGAAAAAGGTTGTGTGCCATTTCATTTATTGCCTGGTGTTAACCTATGATTAGAAAACACATTGGGACTTTAGCTTTAGCATCTGATGGACGACGCTGTGATTGGTTGGATGAATGATCGTTCTGACGTGACCTGTAATGAGTGAGTGAGTGAGTTAAAATTTAACGTCACATCGGCATTATTTCAGCCATATAGCGACGAGACCAAGTTGATATATACACAATTGACCTGTAATGAGATGTCCTCAGGTCAAAGTGTAGCGGTAGCGAGCACTAAGATAGGACTTTAATGAGTTTAGTTTTGTGGTTTCCAAATCAGATACACTGTTCAGGATACTAGTATTTGAAAATAAAGAAAATTAGGGCTGAGTTTATTTCAATTATATGGAGATATGTCACATGCCTTACCTTCGGGTAATTCCGTTTTATTTTGTGTTGCTATATTCTTAAGAACCTTCATTGCTTTTTCCTTCTGGCCGCTTATCATGAGATAACGTGGTGATTCTGTTCGCACGATGAATCTCAGAATAAACACGATTATGGACGGAACTGCACATGCGCCGACAAACCACCTCCATCCAAAGCGAGGCAGGATGAGCCACGCAAAACCCCCCGCAGCCACAGCACCGAGAGCACCACAGAATGTAATGAACACCATGTAAGAGCCTCGGTTTCGTTTTGGAAGAAATTCTGCAATCAAAAACAAGAAAAGATGAAAGCAGAAGAAAAGCATATGATTACCATCATTTGTAATCACAGGCGGCGATTTGGTAGCCTTGTGGATAAAGCGTTCGCTCCACTCGCCGAAGCCCTGGGTTCGATTCCCCACATGGGTCCAATGTGTGAAGCCAATTCATGGTGTCCCCTGCCGTGATGTTGCTGGAATATTGCTAAAAGCGGCTAACATTAAATTCATTGTAATCACACAGTCCCCACAGGACGATTGAGATACACATTTATATAGTTATAACTCCACAACTAGACTATAAAAGTATCTCAATGTGTGGCTGTGATAAACTGGTCCCACAAACATAATGGTTTCAAAATATAACCTTTTACAAGAGTGTGCTTTCCCGGCACATTCAGCAATATCACGGCAGTTAACGCCACAAAGAAGGACCTCACACATTCGGATCTGATCTGCCGTATTGTGCGTGTCAATGATTAGTGTAGTCAAAAGAGATGGAGAATGCGTCTGGCCATATCCCGTGAAGATCTGAGTTAGAATAGGTCTTCAGCAACCCATGCTTGCCGTAAAAGGTGACTATGCTTGTCGGGGCTAACGGGATCGGGTGGTAAGGCTTGGTTGAAGCATGTCATCATATCCCAATTGCGTAGATCGATCGATCACTGGATTATCTAATCCAAACTCGATTATTTACAGACCGTTGTCATATAGCTGGAATATTGCGGAGTGCGGCGTTAAACACCAAACAAACAAAAAACATAACTGTGCATAGTTGCGTCCCCCAGGCATGCCAGGATCCGATGTTAGTGGGTTCGAATCCCAGATTGGCCTTGGTTATGATACCTAAGTTCCTCAGCTATTAGCTAATACCAGTGCCGGTGCTTTCAACAAAGTGATAAATCGCTAAGACCTGCATCATTTGCGCTTTCCTTTATTAAGCTAACACGGCGGCATAAGTGATATACTGTTCAAAGCGGCGTTCAACTCACTCACTCACTCACTATAACTATTACATACTGACCCAGCAGCAGGACAAAGTCCACGGACTCCAGTCCCCCAGTCCCGACAGAGACGAGGGATCGCAGTATCACCAGGAGGATGTAGGAAGGAGCAAATGCCGATGCCACCCCAAACACACAACACACTGATATTGACACGATGAAGGGAATCTGGCGTCCAATCCTGTCGCTCAGCACGCCAAAAACATAACCTCCGACAATACCACACACTCCACTGAAGAAAGGAAGCCAGGCAAAGTCATAGTGATTGAGATTCCATTCCTTCTTCACGGGTTCACTGAGGAAAACAAACACCAGAATTTCAGAACAAACGGCGAAATATCCACCGCCAGCGAGAATCAGCATCTTTATGTGGAAGAGTCCAAACTTAATTTGTGATAGGGCTTCATCAAGGTGGATGATCTTCTTGTCTTTGTCTTCGTGATCTTGCAGCAGACATGTTTCAGACTCTATCTCGTCTTCAGGAGTGAAGGGTTGCATCGGTTCTTTACTTTGTGAAGACGGTTCATCTGGAGATGTAGTCATCACTCCATTCGCCAAGCCAATATCAGAGTCCCCTGTCGTCATATTGATTATTAATTGACTTTTCACTCAAGGAAATATATTCCTGAATATGTATAAGGTAAACAGAAAAAAGGTTTGATAAGCGCATTTAATGCATGAGGGTTTAGATATCACACCAAATTCTACATGGAATGTTTATGGTTGCTCGAAATTGTGATTCTCGGTGGCATGACCCATCCTTTTAGAGCCTCATCATTGCCGAAGCTCTGACATTGAAACGTTGGTTCGCTCTGTCCGTGATGCTAACTCATAACAATATTCTCGATACAGTTGCCAGTGCAAACGAAATGCCGGTAGGTAGACCCGTCTTAATCCAATTGTTACATCTCTACAGGAACTATTTTCCCCGTGAGGCACTGAATTATCCATGCCGCATCTCACCGAGTGGATGTTATCCAGAGCAGTGTGCTAGTCACAAACACATTCAACATTGTTTAACAATGTAGGCGGTAGTTTGATTGTTACATACAATAGCGGATGGCCATGACTTCATCGTGGGTTCGAGCTGTGCTATTTCACACCGCATTGCAACTCAGATTGTCATGTTTACGTGAATGATAGACACCTGTGACCTGAAATTGGACATCGACATGTTAAACACATGGCATGGGAAATTGTAAAGTCTGACTTTTTGTGCGGAAATGGACCTATTCATTAATGTTGATTCATTAATTTTCAAGGTCGTGTTTAAAGTACTATTCCGTGTAGCAGCTGTAAGTATTAAAATGTTGTACTAATTTACCGTTTTTCCGAGGGAAATAGAATATGTTGACGGGTGTGGGGCTACCATATACACTGAAACCGCGCTAGTCCGGACCTGCTAAACCGATACTCCGATCAGTGTGTCTTTTGTTACAGAAAGTTTATAGTTCCTGCCGATTATATTGTGATTAATCGAAAGAAATAAGTTTTCCCCGATAATCCTTGAAAAATATAGTTTTGCTTCAGACTGTATATGCTGGTTTTGCAGCTGTAACTGAAAGAAGTATCTAATCATCGCCACACACACACACACACACACACACACCATTTCCCACCAATCCCTCCCCACCCACCCCCTAGGTTTGTGTGAGTTTGTTTTTACACCGATAGCAATATTCCAGTAACACGACGTGGTCTTATCATAGACGGATACAGGATTTCCTAAATGGCGGGGTACGGGTGGATGTGGGGGTGAGGTATGTGACATGATAATACACTCCATGTATTATTTTATTTAGAAAAAGGTATTTTTGTTTGTTTTCTTTTGGTCATTGGTCCGTATTATATTTTCAAAAGGTCGGAGGTCACCACAGGGTTATGTTCGTCTGTATAATAACGATAATATAATGTGCATATTTATATTTTAAATTTTAACAGTCCCATAACCATCTCATCCTACTGGCTACCCATTCACTGCTGGATAAACAGGCATATTTCTTGCAAAATCACTTGCCTAAAAAGACATCACATCTGTCTCAGAAGCTCTCCGGAATCAAGCTGTCGAACATTCATTGCACAATATCCAGGGCTGGGCGTTTACATTCATGATTTGCCATTGACAATGACAGAGCTCCAGATAAGTTGTGTATGTGTATAAAATACATTCCCAGTTAATTGTGAGTTGCTTGCGTACAACTAATCAGGAAATAAAAAAAAATTAAACAATAGTATGACAACACTGAGTTATCACCCAATGTTTGCGGGCTTGTATTTCTTTTCCGATCTTTATCTATTGATCGAATTATACAGGCATCACACATACGTGAACTCGCTTTGTTATTAGACATGTGTATCGCTGTTGTGAGTACACGCTTGGGACTGCACAGGAACAGATACAAATTAGAAGTAACCTGAAACAGCATTTTAAGAAAAAAAATCATTATAAAGAATTATTTATACAAATATCTAATGACTGGTGTAAATATACTCAATAGACTGGAACCAGTGGGGTTCAATATATATTGAATACCCACAGAAAGCTAACAATAGCCATTGATAAATTGTGACAAATACTCAGTAGCTGGGGAAAAAACAGGGAGCGCTGAAATGAAAAATTGATCTGAAAGGTATATTAATATTCTGTTCATTTACTCTACTTCCGATATGAGTTGCTCAACATGGTTAATTAAAGTGTGCATGTGGGTAAAGCTTTTACATCTTCGCCACGATAAGAGGCGTGTGAAAACTTTTCGACCGCTGAATGGTGAATGTTCGAGGGAATAATTCCGATTGTTTATCGTAGGTTATAGAACGAGCACTTATTTATTCCTGGCAAATGTATCGCATCATGATCATTGATGATATGTATTAATTCTGTTTGTAGATATATTATTCAACCAATCATAAAACGATTAAAATACATTTTTATAAGTTGAAATAATAGTATATATAAAATTATGTTAATGTGTAAATCATGGAGAATATGTTGTACCAAAATGGTACTTTTGTAAACATTACTACTACTATTGACGATGCTGCATATGTGACACATTCCTGTGTCGTTTTAGCAACGATTGATCCACAATTTCATAAAATCACGAATCGTACGAGTGATCGCCTCACTGAAGTCCATGAACATTTATCATGTTCAACACCTGCCATTCGATAATACTGTAGTGTAACGAAATATGCCACCGCGACTTCAAAATGTGAGTTTGTGCAATAACAATTAATGTCCAAACGTATTTATTGAACTAGAATTACAAAGCACGACTCGCGAGCCATGCTGAAGACATGGTGGTGGGGCTCCACACATGTGCTCCCAAACAGGGTCGATATAGAATTTCTCTTTAACGGTTTTGACATTGGTTTTCAGGTGGTGGCTTTGTGAGAGCGTGGATGGTGTATTTAGGGCTTCTTTCTCTGATGCAACTGCTGAGGATGTCTAAACGTAAGGTGTACGTGTATCATGGGGAAGGGGCTGAAGAGAAGTGTCGCATGGAGCTGTTTGCATCGCTGAAGGGGGCTGTTAAGGAGACATACACAGTTGCTTATATTGAACCTGCTGACATCATCAAGGGTAAGTTGCGTCATGGATAGCCTTGTATATATAACCAGGGGCCATAACATAATAGTGTATGGTCTATGATACAACCTATGTATAATTAGCAGTTTAGTTTATCAAGTTGATGGCATTGGAAAGATATAACAGAGAGCCTTGCTGCTTTTATTAATAAATAAACGTGTTAAATTTGAAATTATTTCTATTTGCAGTCTTTTTTAATTATTTTATTATATAGCCAACACTAAAACACATGCTTTGTTTACCATATGGTGAGGTTGAAGTGTCATAAAATCAGGAAATGAATATGTTCCTTTGTTACTGATTACTACGCTGTATTAAGCATTGAGGAAATGTAGTGAGGATATTCAGCGTTGACAGCAGCTGTTGTTCACATTTGGAACTGTTGACTAATAACTACACATCCAAGTGAGCTTCAGTGCAGGGAGTCCATATTTTTTAATTGATTTGCCCAAGGACAATAAATATGATAAAACCGCTTGCCTGATTGAGTTTGTTGTTGAACGAAACTCTACATTTAAAAAAGTGATTAAAAACTGATGACATGACATGTACCCATGCAAGTGATAGCCCATTTCTTCATGGCTGCTTAAAAGGTTGAACTCTTTCATACATTTTGGGAGAAGTGTCATGATTATCAGAATATCACAATGTTCATTTTGGAAAACAATTTCTCACAAGAGACATTTTGAATGAAAAGTTTTATTTTGCGATAAAAAATTATAATACAGGGTGATGTACAGCTTTGTATTTCCTGTCATGTTATTATGTTAGCATTTTTTTTTATACACATACATTAAGATTATTGTGTGTAATGATCTTTTAAAATAGTTTGAAAATATTGATCAGATGTTCACACGTCAATGATTTATTGTTGACTATGTGAAACACTGTATATATTTAAAATAACATTGATCAAAAGTGTAATATTTTGGTATATTACCGGTTAGTTTTTTACATATGGTACAGTTTGATGAGTCACTATTTTAGAAGAAAACAATCAACATTTGCAACATTAAGGCATCTTTTGGTCTGGCTATTTGAAAAATAAGATTTTGACATATAATGATCGATTGACAACAACTCTTACTATTCATACTTCCATGTCATGATGATGAGATCTGATTGGTCCATGTGATCTTGATAAAATACTGTGTATCCCGTCTTTGAGGGTAATAAATTTCTCAGCTGGGGAATAAATCTTATACCCCGCCACGAGCACGTCAGGCTACACATGGATTTCTGAGAGGCAGAATAAATCCCTTATACCCTGCTTAAAAGCAAAAAGCAGCACGCTTTTTCTGAGTCAGTGGAAGTCACGTGACATAGCGCAAGCTAAAGTCAGTTTAATCGAACAGCTGTTTTATGCGAACCGCGTTAGAAAATTTGCTTGTCCTGATCATTGGGTAATGGGATGTTTTAACCCATGACAAATGAACAGTGACCAAAGACATTTCTTATCATTTAAGCGTCTTTGCATATTGAGGACAGGTTTGTTTATAGAATCCAGTTTGACACATTCTCCTGTTAATTGTATATATTTTGCATGCCCACATTAAAAAAATTCATTTAAACTTCTTTGCATATTAAGGACAGGTTCGTTTGTAAATATGCAGTTTGACACATCATCCTGTTAATTGTATTTTTTTCTCACAAATAATGTGGAAAATAAAGACAATTTATGACGGATCCTGGGGTCTTTCAGGTTATATGCAATGGTATTTGAATCTAGGGACCCCCAAAACTTGACATTTTGAACTTTGACATTATATGGTTATGACCAGGACCCCTTGACCTTGATTCTTAATTTCACTCATTTACAGTGTGATTTATGAGAATCAAATATATACTTTGGGTATTTAAACAAGAAATTTACTGAACAAGTTGCACCACTTTTAATTTGTCCTTTACCTTGGACAGGTCACTGGGTCAAGGACGCTGCACTGCTTGCTGTTGGTGGAGGATATGACCTTGGTCTCATCCGTGCACTGGGGGATCGTGGGATACAGATTATCCGAAACTATGTCCTCCAAGGAGGGTCCTACCTCGGGTTGTGTTCAGGGGGCTACTTCGCCTGTGACTTTATTGAATTCGACAAAGGTGGACCCTTAGATGTTTGTGGAGAAAGACATCTGAAATTTTTCCCAGGTATTTGAACTTTTGTATATTATATTTAATATTCACAATTAATGAGTGAGTGTTCTTTTATGACTGATGCTGTGGTTCATGGGAAGTGTTTGTTGGAAGCTGAATTCAAGTTTCTGACTGCTGGGATATGGCTGCAATATTGGTAAAAGCAACACTAAACAAGTAATCATTACGCACTCACTAACTCAACAAATCAGCATATAACCTTAGTTGTTTGATCACCCAGTGGGGATTCTGGGTTCTAAAGGGTACCCACAATATTGCTGGTCGTAGTGGTGGATCGGGTGGTCAGGCTCGGTGACGTGGTTAATAGTGTGTCCTCTTACCCTGACGACATGGATCGTTGTTCACAATATCAACCACTGGATATTTTTTTATTCAAGTCAGTATGTGATGTTACATATTTTCACATTAAGGGACATGACATGTAATATACTTAGAAGGTGTAGGTTACATACATATACAGCAGACAGCGCATTTGAGTTTCCTAGTCATGATACAGGTGGACAACAATGTTAACGAGTGGTGAAATTAGAAGGCTACATTTGCCATGCTTTTTTGAGATGGTAAATATCCTGTATTAGGAATAAGCATTGTATATAGGGAGCTTTGGCGTGTTTGTTCCTAATGATGATATTTGGCACCCCAAAACACACATGCGTGATAACTTCTTTATTACATGTCATTCTATTTTGTACTGGCTACCGTCATATGTCTGGAATATTGCCGAGTGCAGCATTAAACAACAAATAAACAAAACTTTGTCATCATGTTGTACATAACCATTGCAACACTCTCCCTTTAAATAATTCTCTCTCTTTTTAGGTCTCTGTGAAGGTCCCGTGTTTCCAAACTTCAAATACAACTCCTTCCAAGGTGCAGTTGCAGTGCCCACAGAATTCTGGGACTCAAATCTGCAAAAGGTTGTGAAATTTCATTCCTACTTCAACGGAGGGGGGCATTTTCAGCCATACAACCATGCCAAGGCCGTCATGAAGGATCACCTCGAAAACCAACTCTCTGGACATACACTGGAAACCATTCCCAGGGCAGCCATTGACCATCAGACAGACTTGGGATCACCCTCATGGGGAGAGAACTCTTTGCATACCAGTGACTTAGTTCCAAATTTTGATATTCTAGCCAAATATTCATCAGTGGAAGGAGCTCCCGCTTCAATTGTGAAAACAACATTTGGCAGAGGTGTGGCTGTTTTGACAGGGATCCATATAGAGTGCAGGGACGATCATTTTCCTTTAGACGACCCTTTTGTTGCAGCTATGATAGATGATTTAAAGAAAAGCGAGAAAACTAGACAACAATGTTTTGAGTCCCTGCTACATCATCTAAGATTAGATTGTGATAAAAAAAACTTATTTAATAAGTTGAAATGAAAGTGAAAACTTCTTTGCTAAAAATCCATAATATTTTTGTTTGGCTTTCATGCAGCTTGTTTTGCAGAGTTGTGACCCTTAGTCGTACCAGTATTGGCTGATCATAGCCTCCATTCCCTGATTCAACCAATTTGTGATCCTTGGTGTGATGGTGGTAAACTGCATTACTTTCCCCCTGATATGACTTGAGATAACTGACATATCAGTCAAAGCATCTCCCACCCACCCTCCTCCTCCCTCCCTGTCAGCAGTTGTTGATGCTAGATAAGCATACAATGGCATTTACTTTCTAGACTTATCAAACGTAATTATTCAAGGTGTTTGATAATTTTGTAAACAGAGAAGTGAATTTGATAATTCAGTAACTTGTCACGAGCTGAGCACTTTGATCCATAGTGTTCACATTTTGACATTTTTCATATCTATATTTTTAACAAATCATAATTGAAAAGTATGTATTATGAGTTTTATTATAGGTTTGTTATGATATTTCTTCTAGTTATAGGCAATGGACTGTGAAAATGCAGGTATTCAGTGTATTTCTATTGGTAATTGTAAACTGGTGTCAATGCAAATTGCTTTCAAATGTTTGTTTAGAGTATGAGGTGGTGGGGTAGTCTAGTGGTTAAGTATTCACTCGTCACACCAAAGACCTGGGTTTGATTCCCCACATGTGTAAAATGTGTGAAGCCCATTTCCAGTGTCCCCTCTCATAATATTGCTGGAATACTGCTAAAAGCGGCGTAAAATCACTCAGTTTATCGTTAAGGGTATTGGCCAATCCCCATTTTTAACCCTTGAGTTTTTATTTTAACAGCTCTGGCTATACCTCCTAATACATGTAATGTTTCCTTTCCAATGTGAAAGGATTATCAGTGTTGGCCCACTGATAATCATAACTTAATACATCCTCATAACTTTTTATAATTTAATACATCTGAAGTGAGGTAGTGATCACTGGGGTACTTTCTGACGACAGGACAAATCAGAGCCCAGGATCCTGCTTATAATTTCATCTTGAAAAAAACCCTGGAATCCTTTGGGGGAAAAAAAGATTAGTTCCAGAATAAATCTAGAAAAAATGTTTGTCCACAAATTGTTTGCTGACATGCTGGATATCCTGAAAGAAATGAGTTGTGAAAAACAAATTAGATTGCACAGGTTTTGAAGCAATGACCCAAAACATATCCTGTCTCCAGGCAAAACCCAAAGACTCACAGAATATAATGTTGTGACCCATAAGGTTTTGCTGGAATGAAATCCAAAATTCTCGCTCAAACTTTTGTGGTATTGATGCATGTACATGTATCATTAAACTTGGTATAAACCTCAAGTATGGGTCCCTGCTTGTGAAAAGGTTTTGATCAAATTACATCTAAGGCCAAGGTCATTGTTGCTGTTACACTTATACCTATACAGTCCTGAGACTTGGTAATAGTTGGTAATTGTCGTCTTGGTTAAGGTCAAGGTGTGGAAGTAATGTTTGTGGACTGCAAATACAGGGTGATATTTTAAGACTTTAGAATACTTAGGGAAATACCAGTGAAGGATCTGCTTCTGTTTTTGCAAGTACTTGCAAACACCTCACGTTTGATTTAGAGAGGCTGGTATCCTGAATATGTTTCCTGAAATCATTTTCAGATGATGTAAGCTATAGGTATGGAAATTGTTATAATTAGAATATTTATGATATCCAGTACTGTTACAGTAAATACCAGGGTTGTTGTGTTTCTTTTAAATACAAAAATGGATACAACTACTGTACAAATAATCAGTGATAATGTTAAGGTTCCCCTTGACAAAGTTTGAGCTTCAGATCATGACATGATGTATTAATACAAAACAAGATATGTATGTAGAATATCTAGAAAATGTCTTACCTTGTGAAAATGAAATACTCTATTGTGACAGTACATAGATGACTTTTGATCCATAACTAATTTGTATAGAAGTAATGTAATTTTTGTAAAAAAATTTATTATTTCCCATGTACATGTACAAATACAGCCATAAGTGTCATATACATCGCAGAGTATTAATACCACCATGAGAATTTTCATGTAGATCAGTGGGTATTCGTACCAACATACCAACAGTGTTTATAAACACATACTTGGATATTAGAATCTTGGTCGTTTCTCTTTTTGAGAGGTAATATTAATAACACTTATTTAACTGGACATTTGAAGATATTTAAGTATTATACATAATGTAATTGAATTTAAGTACTGAGAATACGAAAACTACACTAAAATACCGAACAAATCAGATAGGAGAAATATCCTCATCTTTTGAGTATGGAAAGAAGACTTGTAATATAAGGGTAACGCTATTTGTCAGGGCATTATGATTTGCAGAAGCCCGAGGTCTTCCATTAACGTCCCGACGAAGGAGGGCAGTTGAAAAGTCAGAGGGCTTCTGCAAATGATAATGCCCTGAAAAAAAGCGTTGCCATTATTATAGCTAAAATGGATGGAATTTGTTATCAAATAAAAAGAAACAACAATATCGACCATCTGTCCGTTTTAGATATAATTTCTGATAACATGCGGGCGGTTTAATGATAATTCTATTCATTTTAGCTATAATGTATAATATCACTATCATAAACTGACTTTTTAATGTAAACATACAAATCATATTAGGGAAGCACATTCCAGCTGTTTCCTGCAGAATAGTTGCACATGATGAACAAATGTGGTTTTGTTAAACTGGTTCGCTCTCTGTATGTTTCTAGGTTTGTCAGCACTATACCCATGGACTTCATGATGAACATTTAAGACCTGCATCGCTTCAGGCTTTTCAGGGGGCACAGGTGGCCCAGTCATCTAAGGCGCAGTTATTCGCTGTGCAGAGTTGCGTCCCTTGGGCGCACCAGAAACTTATGATTAAGGTTTCGAATCCCGGTTCGCCCTGATTATGTTTCTAGGTTTGTCAGCACCTTACCCGTGCTCATGGGTTTCACCGAAGTGGTAAAAGTCTGAGACCTGCATCACTTCGGTCTCTCCTCCCACATCAAGCTGACACGCCGCGATATAACTGTAATAGTGTTAAAAGCGGTGTTAAGCCCAACTCACTCACTCACTCACTCACTCACTCAGGCTTTTCAACCACATCAAGCTGAGATGCTGTGATATAAATACTGGGTTAAAACAAATTAATCTTCATGACGACGGGTATTACGGCCATCCAGATTAGTGCTGTGAATAATGAGAGAGATGTTTTATGAAAAAACTATTCACCAATCTGACATAAGAATAACAATAATCTGATTTTATGCTCCAAATTGTGTTAAAGTAAGTTAGAATGTGATCAGGGTCCATTTGCACTAAACAGTCTCAGTTGTTCGACAATTGTAACTCGCATACTTTAACATAGACTTTTGATAGTCAAAACACTAAGAATGCTTTGTGCAAGTGGACCAGGTCATTGATAAAACTGACAGCTCAAGGGAAACAGAAAAACATAAATAGTTATTTCACAAATACATTACTCAATATAATTTGATCGAAAAGATCTAGATTTATGGATTAATTTTTGCAAAAAGATCTAGATTGTCTAAATGAATGACTTTCAATAACCCAGAAGGAATTACTTTTTAAGTCGACTGAACTCTTCTAATTATACCCTGTTCTGTTTAAAAATGTATTGTTTCACAAATGTTTGTTTCTTTAATATCTTACAATGAGATGTCAAGAAATTGGTAGAAAAATAAACGGGTCTGGCATTAAAAGGATTTGATCTTGCCATGAGTGACAATTTTTAATTGTTGTCATTTTGTTCAGTTTGTGTGTGAATATGATGTAGTTTTTAAAATATTGAGTGGTTTGAATGTGTAATAGATGTGTGTTGTGACATTCCAGGATTTCTGACATTTTTTTGTTGTTAATATGTATTCATATATATTTTTTGTTATTAGAACATATCTCCAACCGAAATATAACTGTGATTTTACACATATATTTCACATGCTATTGAATGTTTTGATTTGATGTTAAGACCAATGGAACTTACTTTGTGTTCTTGGATTGTTGTCACTGCTATTAAAATGTCTACCACATCACACAAAGTCTGTTGTTATCTGGGTGGGAGCACAATTCAGGATAAAATTAACTGTATGAGCCAGTTTGAAGTTGATGGTACATCACGGTTGTCAGCTATAGCGCAGCCTGTCAATAAACAAATGTAGACCAGACAAACCAGTGGCTGAAAGCATGTACATATGGACAAATCTCTTCCAGGTTGACACACTGTCATAACTAATTTGAAAATATTACAATATAATTAAAAATAACTTTTACGAATGTAACGTATGGTCAAGAGAAACCGTCCTCCAAATTGTTTCCATTAGCAAAAACAATTCATTTAACCAAAATAATGCTTTTAACGGGACAATGAAGTTGCTGGCGTAATTTGAGGACAATTAACAATTAAAAGTGTCAAATCTTAAGAATTTACCAGGTTTTAATTTGGTATCACGTCTGTTCCCAGCAGGACTGGTAAGCGTTATTCGATCTCATGTAAACTGAATGCAGTCATTTACGAGTATCAAAGAGATCAAAACGAATTCTAACTCTATTTTTATTTCACTAAAGTTCTGTTTATGTTAAAATGTTGATTGGTGATATTTCGCCTATATTAAGTAAACAAACTCGAGATAATTGATATTTACAGAGAATAATAGCACTGATAAGTGTAGGGAGCTTTTGGAGATATTACATTTATGGCACCGGTTATTCAGGGGAATCTCCCTCGCTGGCAATGGTATATTAAGAGCAATCTTACCCGGATAGAGTCGGGGAGATATTACTGGTGTCAAGGGTATTATCAAGGAAGTGTATGCGTATATTCACGTGCATAAAGAAGATCGCCAACGTAGAGGTGTGTGTGTACCGTCAGTGGCAAACATCTGTATATTTGCAGGTGTCACATGGGGCCTTCGTACTCACTCACCCACTCCTACTGGGATACTGTCGTCCCAGTCGTCTGAGGCGCTGCAGTTCGATGTTCAGATTTCAATCTTTTGGTGAGCCAGAAACCTATGGTCATAGGTTCGAATCCCATACAGATTCGACCCTATTATTTTTCTCGGTTTGCCAGTACCATAAAAGTGTTCGGTGCTTTCACCGATTGATAAAGGCCTGCCTCATTTCCGGCTATCCTACATTATGTTGACATGCCGTGAAATAACTGAAATGCTTTTCGAAATGGAGCGAACTGAGAAAACTCACTCATTTCTACATCAGCCATCTGTCAATTATAGGGAGGATCCCTTGACGAACCATTATTTCGACGTATGTCTTGTTTTGACTCACACGAAGGAAAAGTGCTTTCATCTTCCCCCTTTTTCTCCACAATAGGTTAACTGTTCTCAGGGCCGAATCCAGATTTTGGTTTGTCGGAATTGGTTATAGTGACCAAAACATTTGAGAGAACGTACGCAACAACCTAACTTAATGTTCTGACTAATTTTTTAGGCAGTTGTTGTTATGGTTAAACGAATACATGTGGCAATATGTTTGTTTGATGTTAATGCCACACTCAGACAATTCAGTGATTGACATAATGAGCACTGACACACGCAATTGGGATACGATGACATGCGCAAAAACCAAGTCAACTATAGCTTGACAACTAACCAATTCAGTCGCTACATACGACCAGCACAGGGGACCTACTCTTACCCCATTCTCATTAAAATCAGAAGTTAGTTCTCGCTTCCGCTAAACAAAGATCTGAGGACATCCCATTAGGGGTCACGTCAGAACAAACTTTCATCCGACCAATCAGAGCGTCGCTTACCAGATCATGAAAGTGACAGTCGGCATGTGACTTCTAATCATGCAGCCTCGAAAAGTACCGGTATGTGTTTTCACATAATCGGATGTTTTGTTTTTCGACTGAGTGCTGGAGATATTTACCTGACAATCATATATTATGTAAATGTGTGCCCTTTTAACAAAACACACCTGGAAGCAATGAGAAATATCGTTTGCACAAAACCTTTCAAATCCAATAAGAAACAGTGGTTCACTCATTCAAACAAGCAATACTAAACACCTATTTATGAAAAAGAGAATATTTCAGTAAAGAGAGCTCCGCTGAAGGGCTATCGCTGTGAGGAGATTGAACCTTTACAAAATATGAGAGTGACGTCCCCTTGATAGCAAGACCCAACTTCCGGGATTCAGATGGAGAGCATACGATTAAGTTATAGAATGTCGACTGTTGTGTCATTGTATTAACAATAACGGCACCATAGTTTGATGAAAGAAAACCAACATCGTCTTCTGGTTAAGGTTGGTTACAAGATCATACAAATATTGTGGTTGTGACGAAAGAAAATGGAATTTCTACTCAGTTTGTCAGTTCTGAAAATACATCATGATTTTTGGGCGAGATCTAACTTTTGCTAGTGGTTTACTTACACTATATAGGAGCGTTGGTATGGCATAAAACATTTAGCAATATCATGTTCATCATAAAGGCATCTAATTTGACAACATGTACCTGGTTGCAACAACCATGTATCAATCATTACAGAGACCATAATTTGTTTTACGGTTTCTGATTATAATCACACATGAACAAATGTCGAAGTGTTTATTTTGATAGATAAGTCAAATTGTAATATTAATCATTTAAGTATTTTGGGTTTTTTTAGACTCAATCATGGAACTGAAGGCTGAACAGATTGATGGAGGGAATGACCGCCTGAGATGCACTACTTGTGGCAAGCACCTGTCTTCCCCAGCCAGCCTCCTTGAACATCAGCGCACACACACAGGTTGGCCTCTATGTTAATGTTTAATCGAGTACCCTTTTTTCGAACAGCCATATCGGCAGTGGCGCTTTATGATGAGAGGTGCTAGAATGTCGTTAATGACAGCATTACAGCAAACTAAATCACTGCATAATAAGCATGGGTCATAAATGTTGTGTGTTATCATCTTCAGGTGAACGTCCTCATGGCTGCAATGTGTGCAATAAGCGATTCACACAGAGAGCTCACCTGATCATCCACAAACGAACTCACACAGGTGAGAAACCATATGCCTGTCACATCTGCAACAAACGCTTCGCCCAGTCATCTCACCTCAATGGCCACAAACGCATACACACAGGAGAAAAACCCTACTCCTGTAACATCTGCAAGATGGGCTTCTGCCGAAAACAACGTCTTGAACAACACATTCAACAGCACATGTTGGAGGAGGGTGGAACATGGTCAACAACAGAACTGACCATGGGCACCGGAGTGGTAGAACCTGAGTTGGTTCGGGACTTGGTTGTGGATGGAGGGGATCAGACAGAGTTGTCTCCCTTACCCTCATCAACGCGGAGAAGGAAACCAGCATTTGTACGGAAGATGGAACCTGAACTTGATATTCAGACGATGATCAAGACAGAAGTGGAAGATCTGGAGACAGATACAGACAGTCTCATCGCAAGTCAATCAGACAAGTGGTTGGAAGGTAAGATTCCTCTTCATCCTGTCTCCAAAAGTCCTCTGTCGGATGGAGGCAACCAGCCAGTATTCCCATCATCCCAAAGATACAGCATCATCCCTAAAACTGATCAGAACGACTCTGTTGAAATCGCATCTGAACATAAGATTGTGAAAGGTGCTGACGATACTGATAACGTGAGTGTCACAAGCGACAGTAATCACTCCAGCTCTGACATCGGAATTCCTACACAAGCATTGCGACAGTCCCTTCTTGGACATTCCCCGTCCCGACATCTAGGGTCAAGGTCGTATGGGTCAAGGTTATCCTCGGGCTTCAACTCTAGTCATGTTCAGAGTCAGATTCGGACAAACAATCGGATCTCTCTGGTGGACTTCTCGTCGGAAGATTTGATACGTCACATGATGTCGCGGGATGATATATTCCGCTGTGACTTCTGTTGTGTGATATTCCAGGATGCGGCAATGTACCACCTTCATCGCAGCATGCACGACAAGATGGACTGCCGCTGTTGCAATATCTGTGGAAAACTGTTGAAGGACAAATATGACTTTACTGCACACTTTCTGAGTGAACACAAACTCTAATAGCTTCACAGTTCTCTTAAGATTATCACTGCTTTGTATTTCTGTGCTCTGTTTAACATGTACAAGCATGATGGAGTATCCATGACATCTGCAGGGATTTATCTACTCCTAGTCAGAGGCCAATATTGGCCCAAAATCTCCAGCAAATGTCTGTGAAATTTCCAAAATTAGCATTCACCATTTCCCAGTTCATGCTAATGCAGTAAAACTAATTTTATGGCTTTGTAGGGTTGATTGTATTTCACTGAAATTATCAGGACCAATGAAGAGGAAGAGGCTTTTTAATGCTTAGATTTGCATTGTTGCATTGAATACAGTATGAAAGTACATTGTTGAAATACCTCAGAATTAGAAAGAAATATAACAATAAAATAAATCCCTATTTGCCCAAATGATCACTTTTTCCCAATTTGCCTGACAAGGGCACTTAATTTAGAACCCTAGATAAATCCCTGCACCTGACCTGTTTAGTCATGAAGTGAGTGTTCAAATATTCCAGTTTTCTGAAATTTGATGAAAGTGTGCATTTATTACTTTTATACCATGTTTATACAGACACAGAGTTAGATATGGCAAATAGTCAGCTAGTCCAGAGAGTTGTAGTTAACTTAAATTACATTAACCACTGAGGTTGAAAGAGATTTTATTTATGATGTTCTGCAGGTTGGGAAAGCTCAAAGTTTCAATTTTATTTTGAAAAGGATTTCTTGTAAAATTTCCTTTCTATCTATGTCTTATATTTCGATTAATTTCGGCGCCGTTATTCGCTGTGCAGAGTTGCGTCTCTGGACATGCCAGAAACCTATGATTGTGGGTTCGAATCCCGGTTCGCCCCGATTATGTTTCTAGGTTTGTCAGCACCATACCCGTGCTCGTGGGTTTCACAGAAGTGGTAAACGTCTGAGACCTGCATCACTTCGGGCTTTCCTCCCACATTAAGCTGACACGCCGTGATGTAACTGGAATAATGTTAAAAGCGCCGTTAAACCCAACTCACTCACTCACTCACTCACTCACTCACTCACTCGATTAATTTCAGGTGAAACCATTGTGTTTTCTCCAAAGAAGATCCATATTCATTGATAACAATGAATAAGTAATTGAATCTCTCAGGCAATCTAAAATGACCTTTTTTTGTACATAATTGGCTATAAACTGTTTCATAGGGCAGAAACGTTTCGCAGTAATGCTGTAGTTATATGTATAATGTTTGTTTGTTTGTTTGTTTGTTTAGTTCCTTGGTATTCCAGATATATGACAGTGCATGGGTAATTCTAGGGTGGGGCCTTGTGCTTTTAGCCCCTAAATTTGAAAAAAGGCCCATATTTTCAAATATATGGGGCATTTTAACATTGTGCTGTATGCATAGTATGGGCAAGTGTGGTTGTACCTCTGGAATATATGAAATTTTCACATAAAGGGCCCATGTCAGAAATTCTAGGGTGGGGCCTTGTGCTTTTAGCCCCTAAATTTGAAAAAAGGCCCACATTTTGAAATACAATGGGGGATTTTAAGATTGTGCTGTATGGGCAAGTGTGGGTGTACCTCTGGAATATTTGAAATTTTCACATAATGGGCCCATGTCAGAACAATCCTAGAGTGAACCCTGCAGACAGCATCCTCTAAATAAATGAGGCTAGACATGAGCTGTTTGCCACAATTTAAATTTTGTCAGGATGTTTAATCATGAAAACATGAAATCCAGTACACTGGTCCTGTTTTTTTTTTAATTCTTTCATCCATGTTCCTTTTTTATTTGTTAAAGAAAATGGCTCTTATTCTAAGCTAACCTGATTGAACGTCAAGTGAGCTTATGGCGTGGTGCATTGTCTGTCTTACCAACTGTCCTGTTTGATCCAGCTACAACATTCACTTTCACATACTTCTAGTCTTCCTCGTGTTGCTGCATGTTCAATCTCATTAAATTCAGATCTCAGATCTAGCTACCGCTTAACAAAGATCTGAGGACGTCCCATTACGGGTCACTTCAGAACGACCTTTCATCCGACCAATCAAAGCATTGCTTACCAGATCATGAAAGTGACAGTCGGAATGTGTTTTCTAATCATGCAACCTCGAAAACGTTAAAACAGGGTATTCTGACTGACTCCTCATATTGACAAACTCATATTGAAATTTAGAAAACGGAATTGATTTACAAAAGATAGGTTTTGTAACCCTTCTAATATGCACCTGGAAAAAACAGAATTCTGACAAAATGCATTTACTTTTGTTTACAAATTGACAAACTCATATTGAAATTTAGAAACCGGAATTGATTTTCCAAAGACAGGTTTTGTAACCCTTCTATGGCAGCAGTTAATTGACAACCCTCTGCTTCCTTTTCCTCTGTGCATCATGGGACATGACTCAGTCGTCGTAACAATTGGAGGAGCACACAGTGAGTACAGTGTTCTTGTACCAACACTTCAGAAGCTATTGCTACTACGTTGGGCATTGATCAAAATCAGATAAATGTGATATGGAGATACATGTATGTAAAAAGATCAGAAAATAAAGAAGTGTTGGATTTACATTTTCCTGGTATCTATTGATACTGATAGAAATGATATTTTATAATGTCTTTTGATTATAAACGGAGGGGGTGAACAAGTTTTGTCTCTCAGGTTTTCTTTGAGGCGAACTAGCAAATGGGACTAGAGGCTATTTTTTAGCCCTTTAATTATGTTTTTTGACACAGACTAGCAGGCTGGTTTTTATTTGACATGTATGTATTTCAGTGCCAGTTGTTAGGTACGGATGTTCATAAAAAGAATATTCTCCCATGTATTCCTAACAGTGATAAAATATAAAGAAATAAACTAATTTTATGTGATCAGTTTTACCAGGTTTGAAATAAATGGAAAAATAAGAAATACTATGCCTCGACCATTCCAACAGGGTTTGAAAGTGATGTCTTGCAATTTTTCTCTATTGTCCCATGCAGTACCTATAGAGAGAGAAAGAGATGAAATTGGTGATTGACATCAATTGTACATGTTGTAAGTGTTGGAATCTGAAAGACCGATTCTTGAGTATTCTGAGTTTAAATCATGATTTTTTAAGTAAGTTTTGCCGGAACCAGAAATACATGGCGGTTTACAGTGCCAGAATACTCAGATGCCATGTGAGCTGGTAACCATCTTGTGTGAGCATGATTTGTTTGTTTGTTGTTTAATGCCGCACTCAGCAATGTTCCAGCTATATGACGGTGGTCTGTAAAATAATCGAGTCAGGACCAGACAATCCAGTGATTGACATCATGAGCATCGATCTACGCAATTGGGATCGGTGACATGTATCATCCAAGTCAGCAAGCCTGACCACCCGATCCCGTTAGTCGCCTCTTGCGACAAGCATAGTCGCCTTTTACGGCAAGCATGGGTTGCTGAAGACCAGTTCTACCACGGATCTTCACGGGTCATGTGAGCATGAAAGAATGATAGATTTTGTTTACATGGTGTGTTTTATGGGTCATGTTTTGTATACATATATTCCTTTTGTTAATCTTACATGTTTTGCAACATTTTTTAATCATATTGTTTCATGAACATGGTTTTGATAGTTCATGTTATACTTTTACTTAGATTTGCAGCCAAACATTACTTCTACAGGTGTAGCAAAACATCACTTCTAAGTAGCAAAACATCACTACTACGGTTGTAGCCAAACATCACTTTTACAGTTGTAGCCAAACATCACTTCTACGGTAGTAGCCAAACATCACATCTATGGTTGTTGCCACACATCACTTCTACGGTTGTAGCCAAACATCTCTTCCAGAATCATAGCCAAATATCACTTCTAGAATTCTAGCCAAACATCTCTTCTACAGTTAGCCAAATATCGCTTCTATGGAGCCAGTTACTATCTGTGTGTGGTATGTTTATGTCCTGTGTTAGTGATGAAAGACAATCCTATCTTTGTTGACCAAACTTCCACATGCCAAATAAGGATATCCCATGAAATTGTTCCCCGAATGTTTGATTATTGTCTGTAATAAAATGTTTGGAAAATTCTTCTGCTGGCTCTTTATGAAATCTCATTCTGTTGACAAAACACAACATCATGATCATATGTTCTCTTGTCCATTGGGATAGCCTTGAGGTGAAAGGGGGTCAAGGGTGGCCCAGGCGTCTAAGGCACCGCGATTCGCTGTGCAGAGTTGCGTCCCTTGGACACGCCAGAAACCTATTCGCCCCGATTATGTTTCTGGGTTTGTCAGCACCTTACCCGTGCTCGTGGGTTTCACCGAAGTGGTAAACGTCTGAGACCTGCATCACCTTGGGCTTTCCTCCCACATTATAAGTGAAGTGAGGTGAAATGGGGTCCGAGCCAACCACTCCTTAATGCCGAGTACCAGACAAGGTAACAACAAATACCACCGTATAACGTCTTTTGGTATGACGCCGCGGGGATCGAACCCCGGACCTTCCGCTCTCCGGGCGGACGCTCTACCACTAGACGACGGAGGCGGTATCCCACATTAAGCTGACAGGCCGTCATATACCTGGAATACTGTTAAAAGCGGCATTAAACCCAACTCACTCACTCTCTTGAGGTGAAAGTGTTCGATGGTGATGCCGAAGGCTCGAGTTTGATTGTTCAAATGGGTACAACATGTTAATTCCATTTCTGGTGGCCCCTGCTGTGATGTTGCTGTAGTGTTTCTAAAAGCGGCACAAAACGCAACTCACTAACGAGTCGAGTGGTACATTCAGTGGGTGACATTGAGGAAAAGTGGATGGAATATGTCCTGATGGAATGTGTTGTTCGTGCTATCAACCACTGATTGTTTACACACAGAGTCCGCCTCAATGGCCTAGTGGTAGTGCGTTAAAACATGGTACGTGTTATTACCCTCCCTGGCGCTCTGCATTAAGGGGCTAAAACAAGTACTGTTCGGCTCGGAGTCGGCATACTGTGCCTGAGTAGGGTATTCATGTTAAACTGCGGCATGGTATCTTAGTGGGCGAGCACTTTAAATCGGCATAGTTCGGACTAGTACAAGCAGCCACACACACATGTGCATGCACGTCGCTGATTACTACCAATGATCGTAATTGTCCATGCCCCAATGGCAACACATTTGACAGCTTAGTAAAAGCGTCGAAAGCCCGGGGTCGATTCCCCTCTTGTGAAACCCATTCTGGGGTCCTCCACCATGATATTGCTGGAACATTGAAAAGTTTCAATAGTTAAGATCAAAGATCCAGATAAGCTGTATATTTGTATATTTACGAACAATAAATCACCACAACTCAATATTGAGTTGTTTGCGTTCGAAGACCGATGAGAAAAACAGTAGTATGACAACGCTGCGCATAATGATCAAATATAGCCTTTTCAGCTTGTGTACCAGTGTCTTCACATATTATTATTTATTTATTGAATGCAGGCATCACATAAACATTAATTCTGCTGCGGTACGAAAAGTGCTATTGATCACTTATTATAAGCTTGTGTTGAGCTGACATACTTGGGGCATCACATAGATATACAAATTAGAAGTCACATGAAACAGCTTTTTAAGAATGATGTATTTTTAAAAACCGTTCAATAATTGGTATAAAAATACCCAATACCCCTGAAAAGTAATGGAGCGTTCAAACAATAGAATGACGTCAATATGAGAAAATACTGCTGGTCATTTGGGTTCAATTTGTCCCAAATGCACCGTGCTTGAAAAGACGTGGTCATCGATTCAAAAGTTTACATAACATGATCTCTGCAAAAAAAGAAACACAAAAGTAGTAAAATCATAATTTTTTTATAGTGTTCTGCGATATCCATACAAATTTAAAACCAAAAATGAAGTCTACATTTCTGAATGGTTTGGGATTGATTTGTGTGAAAAAAAATATGAGGTACTGCTGAAAATTGGTGAAAAGATGGAAACATCACATGTGAGAGCCTGGCACCGAAACACACCAACATGACATACACGTGCAACATCAGTAGTTGGACTATGAAAACGTTGGGTTTCATTTGCATGCCGTCACAATCTCACAGAAAGTGAACAGCGAAAACATGCCACGACCGGTGGATGCCCAACGCAACAAGGCCATCGGCCGACTGCAAACAGGCGAATCATCTTTGCACCAGGTCCGGTCGAAGACGTATCAATACTCAAGCACAGGACAGATTCATACGGCTACGTCACAGAACCACCACGGCCACCTCTACAACTGTGGCAATACCAGGATTCGAGGATTGTATTGGATATTAGCCCAGACAGTGAGGAACCGTTTATGCACTGAAGGTATTCTTGCTAGACTACCTGTTCGAGGGGTCCTTTTGATAGAGCTGCATTGACGACTGCAACGTCAATGATGTCAAGGTCACAGAGTATAGCCACAACTGCGATGGAGACAAGCTTGGTGATGAGTCACATTTTATGCTTCGCAGTGCGGGTGGTTGACGTCGTGTTTACAGGCGTTGCGGGGGAACATTATGCCCAAAACTGCATACAGGAAGTGGACAGATTTGGTGGTGGTAGTGTGATGATGTGGGCAGCCATCTCCTACAGTGGTAGAACATACTTGGTGCAAGTTCAAGGAATTTAATGGCACAGATTCACAGATTTCCAACAAAACAACGCCCAACCTCACACGGCAACACTGAAAACAGCATTTTACAGGAATCACAACATCCATGTCCTGCCATGGTCCTCCAGTTCTCCAGATTTAAACCCAATTGAGAAATTATGGGATTCACTGGATCAACGAGCACGTCAGCAACAACCATAGAACCATCGACAGTTGGCACAAACACTGCAGGGAGAGTGGGTGAAATTCCCCAGGCCACAATTCGGATCCGATTGCTTCCATTGGACAACGATGCCAGTCAGTTTTGTACTCTAATGGTGGCCACACAAGATATTGAGCAAAGATGACTTTCACCTTGAAAATCTATTGTTCCATGAGTGTCATATGGAACCTGGGTCAATGAGAATGTGTGCAAATGTTGAACAATCGATTACCATCTGCTGATTATTTATATGATATATAAAATATACATCTAAAATCACTTTTGCGTTTCATTTTTTGCAGAGTATATTAACGGAGTTATCTCTTTTACTAATATCCTCCTCAGAAATCCAGATGTTTTACTTTATCATGTTGAATAATGCAAGGAAATCTATGTTGTTGCAAATGAGGTGAAATTGGGTTTAATTTTGTGTTCAAGATTATTGTACTTTTTTATAGCAATGTGTGTTTTGACTTATATAGTGATGTGCAATCATATGTATGTGTGTGGCTGCTAGTACCAATCCAGACTAATGCCAGTTATAAAGTGCTAGCCCACAGAGATAGCACACTACAGTTGGAACCCATTACAAGCCAGCCAGTCCTTCTCAACAAGTTCCATCTTTTGGTATGACATGGCCGAGGTTTGAATCTTCGACCTTTCGCTCTCCAGGCAGAAACACTATCCACTAGATCTAAGTTGTAGGAATGTACTAGGGTGTGCAAGATCCTAGATCCTAGATCCAAGTACCAGGCAGGGAAACAACAAGTACCATCTTTGAACGTGTTTTGTTATCACACCTCAGGATCGAACCACCGACCTTCCAATCTCCAGGCAGACACTCCATCCACTAGAGGCAGTCTGTATCACACGCAAGTAAATGGGTGAATGAAGGGTGTAACGTTGCTTTTGGTAACATCACAATGACCCCATACATGATCAAGTTTGGGCCAGACAAACCAGTCGTTGATATACTGAGCATGATATTGGGGAGCAATGACACCGACAGCCTGACCTAAGCCAGTTTAGTCACTTCTTATGTACAGCAACAGACCTCCATGGACCCTTTAACCAGGCCCCTACAGGGTAGTCACACGTAAGAAATAATATATTGTTTACTAAAAAATTTATTGCTATGATTTTTTTACAATGATTCATGGATACAAAAAAATGTTTTAATCATTATTGTACACCTGGTACACATCCTCTTTCAGCATTATGTTCACAAATTTCAAACAAAAGAGATGCTTTTTACAAGAAGTAAAATGTCAAATCATAAAATCATGTCCATCCTATGTAGCTACAGCATATGTCTGTTTATAAGATGGTTATACACAACACTGGCACTAGTCAGGAAATTCATATGAAGCCAAGCATGTACAAGCCCAGCAAATAACAAATTAAAAATACTTTACATGCAATTTCACAAATTAAAAAGCATATTTATAATGTAGTGATTGTTACAGTACCAACTTTAGGTTACTTTGTTAATGGTTCTTTAATTCATAGTTTCATGCGTTGTGTGTCACATCACAACAGTTTCAAATGCTTTTTTTCAAATACTTAAAATTGGTCTAAGGATTCTTTTGAAAAATTGCGGAAACGGTGTTGAAATAGTGGTTGATTATTATTGTTTATAACAATGTTATTTTGAAATGATTTAATGGAAGTATTGTCAAAAAGAAATATTTTTTGTCAAAACTCAAAGAGTTACCTCCCTTCCCACACAAACACCCAAGGGTGCTTCCCAGCGCAAGACACCTTCGTTACACTCTCCGTAACATATTATAGATAGCACCATGAATGGGATATCAGTGTGAGGAGATTAACTAATCCCATGTCAGTGTTACTAATATCAACTTTTTGCCTGAAGTCAAATCCTTAAACCAAGGTATGAAAAGTAAATGTCTTCATCAACCTATTGAATGTATACAGCTATTCCACTTTTATGTTGGCAACTAAGGAACAAGTAGAAGATAAACTAAACAAACTGAAATGTAGAACGTATGATAGCCATGGCTGTAGACCTTATCAAAATTCAGTACACAAATTCAAAAACAATTATTACTACAGCAGCATCATATACAATTAATAATGTCAAATGCAATTTGACAAGAAATATGTTCTTGTTTAAAAAAAAAAATCCACAGACAAGTTATGAAATACTGAAAATGTCATCATACTATTAACTACGCGTTTTGAAACAGGTACTTCTGATGTGGAAAGCATTCATTCATATATCAACAACAAATTTGATTTTGTCAAATAATACCTCTAAATCTTAAAATAAGTAAAAGAGTCCTTGAAAAAAACCATTGAAATATTACATATTCTCAGAGTGATGATTACAATGAAGTACAATGTGTCTATTTACAAGCATGGAAATATACAAAGTGGGTATAAAAAGTACATAAAATATGTTCTTGTTATTTACAAGGCAAGTTTAAATCTTTCTCTTTATCGTAATGGGTTTCGTGGATTGCTGTAGTAGGTTTGGAATGTGCTGATTTAACAAACTATTCATGGATTTTCAAGATCTGTCACCTCAATATTGTAAAAGTGTTCATAGTGGTTCTTTGACAGATTAACTGTCCTTAAGGAAAGGATCAAACTATAACCTTTCAGAAAGTGATAAATGCGTATATAGGAGTCAAACTGAAATTAGCTCAATTAACATATATATGATTTAGAATGGAACAAAATGATGGTATTTTGCTCAGGTTCGCTGTTCAAAAGCATCAATGATGCAGAAACAACAACTTAGAAGGGAACCTCTTTTGTCCTTGGGATATTCATAATTTTAAGAAATGAGGATTTTTTTTACAAATCATTATGAAATTCAGATGTGTTCATGTGACCAATTGTAAATCGCTTAGGTAATGATAAAATATGTCAAAACGGCTGAATGTAGATATTATTTTTTTTCCAGAAATATTTTTTTCCAATATTTGAGCATGAGTCTTAACCCAAGCTGTTTTTCAAAGATTAACAATAAGATCAAGAAAACTCATGTTTCAAAAATTAATCTTGGGTCACATATTTGCTCACAGTCTTGAAACATGAAAATCAAGCCTGTAGCCATTGTTATGATCTTGATCATAGCAGAGGACAAGAAAGAAAGAAATAAATAAGGGCTAGTCGTCAGCCATTTGAATATCTCCAAACAGGGCCCTCAGCATTCCCCATCCTTTACACTACTGTGTGTTTGTTCATGTTATTCTTTCTCAGGAAACATAGACATGTGAATCCTCGATATAAAAAAATCACATAAAAAGTAGGCACCATGTTTTGGGGGACGGTAGAAGATTATTAGAACAACCGTGACAATAGCAGTGTTACAAGCGAGGTGAAGACAAGAGCTGGGACATATTTCAGTTTGATGTCTGAGGCTCCATTACATCCATTGTACTCATTACAGAAACAGTATGTAATCTGGCTGTTAGTCAGATCCAGGGGGTTGAAAGGGTCGTTTTTTCGTGCTGGGAGACAGTAACCATGGCGACGCAAGTTTGGCATCCTTAGTCTATGTCGTGTTGACTTCATCAATTCGTGTTCACATTCCCGGATATATTTTGGCTCTTGTCCTGAAAATGATGAAAGGTGATTGAATCAAAAGCAGACAGCCATATGATTTTCCATACAAATTGTTGGAAATGTTAATAATGTATGTTATTAATGCAATATGTCAGCTATATGACAGCGACCTGCAAATAATCAAGTCTAGACCAGGCAAACCAGTGATAGATATCATGGGCAACGATCCACACCTTCAGCATGTTCAGTGTACACTGACACGCTATCAACTGATCCAGACCACCCAATTCATTAAGTCACCTCATACTACAAGCACCGGTTGCTGGGGATCTATTCTGATCAACTGCCTGGAATCCTGGGGACAGTGTTCATATGTTAAGCATGTTGAATGGGAACTATGGAGCCAAGTTCCAGCCAAGGTCGAGACATTGTAAAAACAGAGTCTTTGTGTAAACAGGTTAATAATTGACTGCTAGATTACTCAGGGATTTATCTAAGATTCCAAACTAAGTGCCCTTGGCAAACAAATTGGGAAAAACATTTATTGTTATTTTTAACATTGCATTAAAAAAAAAATGGAAAATTAAGCCTCTTCTTCAGTGGAATACTAGATACCTCGACCAAGCCATCACAGTAGTTATAACTTTATCTACATGAAATAAGAATTTTTTAATTCCCATTTAGGAAATTTTACTGACAATTGTTGCAGACTTTGGGATGAATATCCAGCTCTGACCAGGTCTAGATCAATCCCAAAGTATCCTAAAATTTGAGTTAGCAAAAAAAGAATGTTTTGATTGAGAGATTTCAATCAACTTCATCAGGAGCGTGAACTAACCATAGTCAAGTTTTGTTTTAGCATGTAAGCTTTTATACCATGTTAATTTTGTTCAATCATATTATCAGAGCCAAGTGTCTCAGAAGCCCCTCTGTGGCATATACGCAGGTGTCATGCAATGGTATCATAATACCAGAGTACCAGACTGTATACACAATATGGCCTTCTGATTCCCTCACCGATCACCACCATCACAACTCACCTGGTACTTTCTCAATGACTTTGACACAGAAGTTGGAAGGCCCACAATCCCTCCATGGGAACATTCTCCAGACCACCTCATCACCACAACCACCCATGGCACTGAAACAGCGGTGGCACATCAACCCTTCACCTGCAATACAAACACAAAGCTCATCTGTGATGTTCAAGAACCAAAGACTTGACACAAACATGATACAATGTACATCCTTAAATTGTGCATGAATATATGGCATACAATACTGTACACTCAGGAATTCCTCTGTACAGCCTGGAATGTGGACCTTTGATTCCATGACTGAGTTTGACAACTTACATTTCCACGATTAATAGACATTTTTCAATTCCATGTGATGAACAAATCCAAGGCATGTTATCATGGTTATGGTGCTACACATCTTCATAAAGTTTTAACTCTCTGTGCTTTGTTGGGTAAGACTTCTGCCCGTATCCCCCCTCAAAACTATAAAGAATTAAAAGGATTGAGCAGCAAAGCATGAATATTTATATTAACTAATGTGAGGGGGGGGGGGGGGGGGATATGGGCGAAAGTCTTTCCCCTGGTTGTTTCTGATGAGAAAGTTCATAAAGATTTTAAAAGTTGCATTGTTACCACTGTTTACACTATTTCTTGTTAAAAAAAACAAAAACATTTTTGTTTCATTTTACCATGCTCGATGGCATGAATAAATCTTAATCCGTTATGGAGTCAACAGGTTGTGGATTTTGAGTAGTTTTGTTTCGTCTGTCGTGAGCACAGAAGTGAACAGATTAATTAGCTCACAGAGGTGTGATGTTTAATTAATAATCAGACAAAAACATACCTCTAGCATGTCAAGTGTAATCACTGAAGTTCTTAGTTCAATGATACTACTGTGACGCTACTTTAGAAGCTTTTTGGTAAGGAATGTTTGTTGTTTTTAAATCACCAATCTCTTTGCGAAATTTTGGCCATGACCCTTTCTGAACTCCAAACCGATAATCGGTTTCCTTCTATTGCAACTATATATATGCATCCAATGCGACATTACGTATACTGTCAATAGCATATGATATTCCTACTCCAGAAGACATTTATCCATATGAATGAAAACGAGAAAAGATGAATATTCTTGTTCATGAACAAAAGTTTTTTGTTTTTTCATCCACGATAACACACGGTTGGAAAGGATATATGACAAAATATACGCAAATATGTTACTTATATCATTTTTCAAGAATATAACCATGGTTTTAATATCATAAAACATTCTGTTACAGTTCTGATGATTCAAATTCAATTTGGTCCTCTCAAACATGACATCATCATAAATGTGTCAAAGACAGCCTGTCACAATATAACAGCGCTCAAAATATTAACTGAAATAATTAGTACGCGGGAAATGTGTTTAGTGTATGAAATATCACATTTTGGCGGCTGACTGTGAAGATTTAATTCCACCTTAGCATTTCCGGATTGAGTTGTAAAATGTCCGCCATGTTGTAACGATCGGAATGTGGAAGACAGTCGCATACCTTTTACTTACCTGACAGGTGTGTACTCGCACAGAAGCAAACCGTTCAGATTTATCCAAACAAATGATATTATGTATTATTTACCTTCTTTGAAGATGAGAATTGCCGAAAGTAACGCAAGTAGCCACTCCGTCCCCATTTTGAATGAGGTCGTGATGTCACCTGTAAACAATCCAAGGGGAGGTAATTCTCACTCGGGCAGGTGTGACAGGAAGGTGACGCGGCTGGTACGTTCAGGGGATTCTGGTTCAGGGGGAGGTTCCTGTAATAATGGAGTGTTTGTTTGTTGTTTAACGCCGCGCTCAGCAAAATTCCATGCAGGCGATCTGTAAGTAATCGAGTCTCTACCCGACAATCCAGTGATTGACATCATCACTATTAATCTACGCATTGGGATGAGTGAGTTGGGTTTAACGGCGCTTTGCACAGTATTCCAGTTATATCACGGCGTGTCAGCTTGATGTGGGAGAAATAAAGCCCTAAGTGATGCAGGTCTCAGACGTTTACCACTTTGATGAAACACAGGAGCATTGGTGTGGTGCGGATAGACCTAGAAACATAATCTGGCGAACCGGGAATCAAACCCACGACAATACACAATAGGTTTCTGGTGTACTCAAGGGACGCAACTTTGTACAGCGAATTGCGGCGACTTAGACGCCAGGGCATGTATCAACCGTATCAGAGAGTCTGACCGCCCGATCCTGTTACGCCCATTACAAGCACCCGAATCTTCACGGGGCATGGAGCAAGTGAGAATAGCACGACTCAGATGAGTATTTCTGTGATATTACGTCGTGTCAGTTTGATGTGAAGTGATACAGGCCTCAGACCACATTAGCCAAACCCGCATGCTCCTTACAGTGCCGAATTGTTTTTAGGAGAATCTTATATCCGAGTCGACCAGTCCTTGTTTTAGCCCCTTAATGTCTAGCGCTAGACAGGTTAACAACAAGTACAATCTTTTAACGTTTTCTGGTATGACGCGGCCGGGGAACGAACCCCCAACCTTCCGCTCTATCCACTAGACCACGGAGGCGGTCCCCATGCCTCGAGTTTCATGGAGGCAAAGAAAAGCCTTATGAAGAAGTATTTGCTTGTATTTGTTGTTTGTTTAACACCTCACTCCAACATTCCAGCTATACGACAGCGGTCTGTAAATAATAGAGTCTGGACCAGACAATCCAGTGACTGACCTCATGAACATCGATCCACGCAATTGGTCAGCATCAACCAAGTCAGCGAGCCTGACCACCCGATCCCGTTAGTCGTCTTTTACGACAAGTTAAGTCGCCTCAGATTATACTATTTACTTGAGCATACTCTTGTGTATGGAATCTAGCGCAGATCTCTGTCTCTGCGTAATTTCATTTTATTATCAAGGCGACAAAAACCCTGAAGATCTGGCGTAGAATAGGTCTTCAGCAGCCCATGCTTGCCGTAAAAGGCGACTATGCTTGTCGTAATAGGCGATTAACGGGATCGCTGACTTGGTTGATGCATGTCATCGTATCCCAATTGCGTGGATCGATGCTCATGATGTCGATCACCGGATTGTCTGGCCCAGACTCGAATATTTACAGACCTCCGTTATATAGCTGGAATATTGTTGAGTGCAATATTAAACAAAAAACACTTCCGGGACAGATATGAAATGAATGAAGCTCTCGTAAAATAATTATTTTCCTGGTTGTCATGTGCGATGTCGCCAACTAATGTCGAACATGTTTATGTGAGAAGTTGATTTTAACACGCCAAAATATATATTGCTTCAGAATAATGACATAAAACAGAACTATTCGGGAAACATACTGGTCTGTGAAAAATATGTCCTAAATGTCAATTGTACGACATAAGTTAAAAATAAATGTTAACTCAGGGCTTTTAAACGTAAGTTCACAGCAAGCCTCGCTGTAAACATCTGCAAGGATATTTCTGTAAGTAGTGTTTGCAGGTTTGGAGGTGTATCGCTATGACAGCATTGCATTGTAGTTATTTTGAGAAACTCCGTACATGTTAGACGTATTTACTACCTGGATAACATTCTGAGCACAGAGAGAGAGATGGGCGGGGCGGAGAGAGGGAGGGAGAAAAAGAGGGAGAGTGACAGAAGGACGAAGGGAAGGAGAGACAGGGCGAAAAAGAGGGAGGGAGAAATGGCGAGATAGAGACAGCCTATCACCAATACTTCACAGATGTGTATACTCTACGTATACAAACCCGTCAACTTATGACGATGCTTTCTCCAAAGATTGATCTGCGCCTCCTTAACTAGTAACGATGGGTATGGCGGCCTAAATCAAATCATGTCGTTCAAACAAATTATCAGGCCTAGCCGTTTGTGACATACCACACAATCTGAACTTAAAGCTAACGTACCGAGCGTCAACATCGCCGGTAAACAAAGCAAGCTGTCGACACAACATTTTTCGCGTTTGCTGCAATCCGGATCAAACTGTCGCCCGATCTGGCGGCGTCACGTGACCAGGTGTGCTGCGCAGTGAACATTGGTTCAACTGATGGACACGATTGATCATTGAATTTTTACCTCAGCGTATTTGAAATGGATAACAAAACATTCCCTGTGTCGAGATGGACTTTGCTGTTATTGTGTTTATGTGTGTGTGGCGTTAGATACTCAGGTAAGATTTATTTCATAATCCGAAACGTTATCTGTTAATCGATAAGCCATTTCAGGTAAAACTGTATTGTCTCGTCCTAACCTTATTTGTGATTTGCCTGATTTTTAGGGTAATTACTAGTTTGACAGTTATTTTAGCCTTGAATGACTCTTATGATAGTGAATGTGGACGGACAACCTTGAGTTTAAGTATGTACTGTTTATTAGCCACTGAAGTCGAGGTATTGATAAAAATGATATCAGAAATTGTATGAACATTTGAGACTGGTGTGCGATAATGAGTCAGAGGTAAATCCCGGAAAACGGAACGGGATTGAGGGCGTGGTGTGTAGTGGTGGAAGGTGTGCCCACCCCCTAACACCCAACCCACCCCCAAAACATATTTATTTGAATTCGCCAGTAAATGTACAAGACTTGAGGGGCAAAAAACATCTTTGACATTTTAAACAACATCCGTAATATAATCCGATTTTATCAATCACGTCGTTTGGGTGAATGCATTAGATAAGCGACAACATTAATGTTTCTGGATATGTAAATAATGTCACTATAACATAGTTGTAAAAACTGTTTTGAGCTTCCGTTTTTAATGCTAGGTTTGTGCGTACTTGTTCCGTCACGCGTTTTTGGAAAATCTAAACATCCTTTTAAACGTCACGCGCTGTCACCGTTAAGACGAACGGAAATGTTACAAGCATGTTGCAAATAACAAACACGTCTAAATACCTCACTGTGGGCTTTGAAAGGTAAATTCACCGGCACACCACTGCAAGCCCTGCTGTAAGATAAGTCTGCTGTTTTGGGCATTGCATTGTGTTCGTTCCTGTTTGAAATACGTTGTACATTCACGACGTACCTACACGTGGTAGCATTTCTGTGCAGCCAACATACAGAGAGTGAGAGAGAGAGAGGGAGAGAGGGAGAGACATGGCGAAAAAGAGGGAGGGAGAAATGGCGAGAGAGAGATATATTGCCTACCGTCAATACTTCAAAGGCGATGATGTCTGCACGGAGTGACGGAGGGATGTAGAGAGGGAGAGGGCAGGTGAAAGAAGAAAGGAGGGAGAAACAGACAGAGGGGGAGTTATTAATTACACTATTCTGCCTATAAAATATTTTTCTTTTTTACAAATTATTGGGAAATGTAATCTTGCCCACGAAAACGGCATCGGTTTGTTGTATACACATGTAAGAAGACAATCTGTGACAGCCATTGTCATAATTATGATTACGTTTCAATTTTTAATACATTTCTATATCTACACACAACTTTTTCCTTTGAGCACATGCACTAAATACAACTCGTGCAAGACATCACGGAAGGCATGTGTCAGCGACACGCACAGGTCATTGTATATTTCAAACCTTCTCAGCACGAGCAGAGCATTCTCGTTGGATGATCAAAAGTCAGTGTTTCGAGACTTTAAATTTAAATGCAACACCTTTAAAATAAATCAAAAGAAGAAAAACTGGAAAAACACACAATCGCTTCTGCACAACTCGCATCAACTATGCCGAGTCACAGAATCCTCCAGAGCATGTGATAACTAGCGCAACAGGATCGTGCGTGGCATCATACAACTGAATTAGCTTCATCAGTAAATTAACCGAATCCGGCTGTTAGGCACATGAACTGAATTCTTTCCACGATGTCATACAGACAGTTAATATTACTTTGGAATATTCGACCTGGTTGTCATGGTTACATGGATTTCAGCGGTGACCATGTTAACAATGGTGTGCTTCAATTTGAATGAAAACTTCGATGTACGCATATATGCATGCGCGTTTGCGGTGTGTATGCGTATAACAACGGCCATGTTGACGGACGTTTGATTTCTTCGCTAAGTGGCCCAGGAAATGGATAAAAACATTATAAGAAAGTAAGACGACACCGAATTCGGTTCACGTCCCCTTAAATGAGGATGCGAGCGACGAATCGTTTTAGTCCTTTAAATAATGGCTTACAGGTAATGTACCCAGAAAGGTCTCGTAATTCTCTGTATACAAACGGAAAGGACGACTAAGTTTTATTTTGAAAAAGAAACATTTGTGTCCAACGTTACAAGGAAGGAAAACGGATGCTTATAATAAACACATTTTATATTAAACACGATCAAGTTATATAAGGATTGACTGTGTTTGTTTTTCAGTTCATTGAGGTATGAATCGGAAAACCGATGTGCAAACTATATAAATCCGCATAGCGGATTCTTACAAAAGTATGAACATCGGTTTTTCGATTCATACCTCAATGAACCGAAAATAAAACACAGTCAATCCTTATGATTAAATTCGTCAGCGAAAACATTTTTTATCTACAATAGTTTAACCAGAAACAGTTGTATATATCAAAGCAGACAAAAATGACGAGATTGATAAACATTCCGGGTGTAGGAATACATACTGTGACGTGACATGAATCAGGTGATTGTTTAATTTAAGCACATTACTTGATATGCCTACAAAGTCAGTAGCCAATCAATGGAGAGTATGATAAAAACAAATTTAATTATATATACTTAGTCTGAAATATTTAGATACATATACATAATTAATGTATACAACACGATGCTTCGATGAATGCGTTCATGTCACCTGTCCCGATAATATCACATTGACTGTTACAACGACCTGTCACAGTGAAGTCATAACATACATATATTAAAAGCTAAAACCATCCAGCAGTAATTTCATAAACTGCGTATGGGTGTTGGCTTGACGTAGAAAAACAAAGGCCACTCTTCAATGCTTACTCAAATAATGTTTTTGTCTTTCTTTCTTTTGCGAGATACGTTTTATCCACTGTGTACTGCTGACGTGTGCCGAAAGAAATTTCCAATTTGTCGTATTTAGGCCACGTGTTATTTTAGATCTTGCAGTCTTTATGTATGAGTTGATGACTACCAATAAGCCCATGTCTTTGTTAGTTTGATATTGTTCTATCCTGCCCGTGTGCGTGCCGTAAGCCGCGAAAGTGAATTAACCGGTACTCTAGGTAAAGGTGATTGATTGAAAAGGTCAGCGTATATGACATGTGTAATTATTCATTTAGTCGACCAAGCCATGAGAATGCAGAGCGTCCCTGAACGCCTGGGGCTAAACACGTGACCCAATTCTTCTCCTAATATTTCTCATGGAGAGGCCCCGGAGTGACGGATATATAATTAAGACAAATATAGATGATGTATGATTGGATACAATAGGAAATTACGTTATATAATTTATAGCTTGATATTCTATTTATATTTTGAAAAAAAGGTAAATAAGGTAAACACTCCCTTTTTACCCTTTCGAACATCTGTGCAATATATATATTTGGGTGTGTGTGTGTTGTAATATTTTTGTATTTTGGTGTGTTTTTTAAACTTTACAAAAGAAAATATGTTCCTACTTCCGCTTAATAAAAAGCAAATACGATTATATTCGACGCGAAAGTGTCACGTATTGTCGGTGTGAACTTGTAGGGTAATCGCCATATGATTACAAACATCATGATTATAGTCACCTTTGCCTTTGGGTTAAACACACACAAACACACACAAAAATATGGTGACAGTTATTATATCTACTAATATTCTGGCAGGCTTATCGTTCATGGCTGGCAAAGTATATAGTGCGAGAGGCATTTAAAATGGGACAGATATTTAACATGATGGATAAAGGGTCTTTTTCGATGACACATACAGCATGGACAAATACGCAAAGCCTTGAAATATTTAGTACTATATAGTATATAGTAATATAATATATATTATATATTAATATGCTGAAATATATTATCACACACAGGCGGATCGGTGATAGGGGGGGTGGGGGTGGGGGTGGGGGTGGGGGTGGGGGGGGGGGGGGTGTCAGGTCATTAAAAAGTGAAAAATAACCGTATGCGTTTAGAGGAAATACGCCATGTTTATATACATGGAATTGTCAGTAGTGCTTTCAAAGAATAGACGTATGATTTAGTTTCCTCGCACCTAACTACGTAGTGTAGACAGTCTGTACTTTAGAAAAAATCATAAACAGTCATTGTGTGTCTTTTTTAATAGAATACAAACATAAAATACACAACTTCAGTCTCTCATGAAATGACGGACCAAAATAATTTGTATTCCATTTTGGATTCGGTTTGTTCAATAAATTGGTCATTTGGCACTTCAGATTTATACTGAATTTGACGTATATCAATTCATCAACACGTCAATGCAAGATACATCACCATTCGTTATTATGTCGTTAATCAAGTATGTCAAATTCCACGTCAATCAAGACATTGATTAAAATACCTGTCACTGTTGAATCATCAACTATGCCCATTTCAAGCGGCGACGTCTCATTCACGATGATGGGTCATGTATCACATGACAAGCAATGACCGCTAAGTAGACTAACATTTTGTCTATGAAATCTTATATTACACAGTATCCTTCGTGACTCTAAATAAAAAAAATCCCTATGCCGATTTCATGTGGAATAGAGCTAGCTTGAGCTTGCTAAACTTGCTTTTGTATGCGTTTCTAGATTATTATTTTCATATAATAAATATTTTCGACAGTCATGGTGCAGGACTAACCGCTAAGGTACAGCATGGTTTTAGGGCATATACATAACTGATTGTCGACTCCGGGTGTAGATCTAATCAGTCTTCCTTATAACGAAAACACGTTCATTGATTAGATTCGCTGGTTTCAGAAAGTACCACCTTATACTACCTTCTACGTGTTATTAAAGAAGACAATAAATATTTATTTCTCTCAGACCGAAATCTTGAGCATATTAGGTACAAATGACAATATTTACAATGTGTGATGTCGGAAACAATATTAATCGGAAGATTTTACATATTTTATAAGTAAATTCACAATTTACAAAGTTTTGAAATGTCTGACAATTTGATACAAATAAATAGTGATAAAAAAATTTAATTGTTTTGGTCCTAAATAGTCTTCTGACATTTATAATTTTCTTTCGTCTGTGAAATATTTACTTCTAAACAATTAATAA